GGAGCCCTTTTTGTCATAGGCATATGATTGCGTTTTTGCATAGTCATCCTGGAGTAATTGGATAGAATTTTCTACCAATTTTCAATGATTGGATCATTTTCGTGACTTGTTGGGAAGGTCTAATTTGTTGATACAAACTACTGGATGATGGAAAAGAAGTTCTGCGATCTTCGGAAATGAAAGGTCTCTTTTGCAGAGATGGCCCAAACGTTTTTTTTTTTAAATCCCCGCAGTCATCCCCCAAAAAATCATCATCATCATCCAACATTTAAAGTCCTAAGGGACATCTACAGGTCCTAGCCACCAACTTTGGAGGCTGGAAATCCTTTGGGCCAGGTGGAGGAATCAAGCAAGGAGCTTCGAAATGCTGGAAACCAAGAGCTGTGCACATTTTTACATGGAATGTGGGTAAATTATAACGACCTCACTGCGACCGAGCCCTGGAATAATGGTTAGTAAGGGGAACCATCCCCAAGATAGCCTTATTTCAGGTTAGTGAATTATTATAATTTGCCCAGAGAATGTGTTTAAAAAACATCTGGCAATCAGTCTGACTGACCTTGAGGCTAACACGTTTTTTTTTCTACACAGAAAATTTAACGGCGCCATCCAGAAAGGATTTCGGCTTGTCTGCCAATCCCAAACTGGCAGGTTCTATGATAGTTCAACATATCAGAAGGATATATTAGTTAGTTTGGGGGAGTTTAACCCAAAAACATGTGTAACCCAAACATGTGGATTTCAAACAAATCTCAGAATCGCTGACCAGCATATGGACTTAAGAGACCAGAAAAAGCCAGCCAGCCATTGCGGCCATAATGGGGCATATCCCAAAAGATCCCCATGAGATTTCCGAAACATATTAAAAATACAGGGGTATCTTAAAATATACGAAATACTGGGGTATCCCATTTCCAAAATAGATGAGATATGATGAGATATCCCATGAAAATCCCAATAACACCCCACGGTTTCATCCCAGCGATTTGCCCATTTTATTTAAGCGAGGCCTTAGAGAGCGGCGAACACCCACTGGGTCTGGCCGCACCGCAGTTCCTTGGCTTTTCCACAGCTATGTTAAATAACCAGAGGATATCTATACATGTGTATATTGGTATACTATATTGTATTTATTTGTTCCTTTATTGATTAGAAACTGATTCTGTTTATTTACATGTTTATTTTTTCCTGCATTTTTTTGAGGACATAACTTCTATATTCTTTATGATTATACGTACACATATTTCGGGAAGTATCCCAGGTGCCAACCTTAATGCTTTTTTGCAATTGTCATTCTACTGTGGGCGAGTAGGAAAGAGTTTCAATCCGAGATGCTTGATTGGGTGAACGTTGATTCTCGATGGATATTCACTGATGCAGTCCACTGTTTTCCGAACTGTTTGCCATCGCAATGACAGGTCTGTCAACCATTTTATCTTGTGACTTAACAAACAATGGCACGAAGTTTGGTTTGCAAACACTCCATGTTGTATGACATTGTATGAGCCTGAAACTACCAGGGCCACTTCGAAATGACAAGAAACTTCAAGGGTCACTCGGATGGAGATGCCATCCCTAGCACCGGGCAAATCTGTAAGCGCGAGGTTTGGCAAAGGGCTTCGGATAGTCAGAATCTCAGTCATTTCAACACACTCTGGCGGCACTGTTTACCCTCAAATCAATTAGAATTTTGATTTTTGCCTGCAATTTCAATGAAAACCAGCACTCTTGGACTTATCCCAGACTCCCAGACAAACAATTTTGGATGGGGTAGGGCCGGCCGAGTTCCACAGCATCATGTGGGGTAGACAGCCCCTGTTTTTTTTTTCTGAATGGTACGTATGGACGTAGTTGGCACTGGGAAGAAATGACTTGCTCATGCATAGGTCCTTTCTTACGGGAAATGCAGTGGCACCACGGGTCTTTCAATTTATTGTTTTGTCAGCTGACAACGAATACGTTTTCTTAACAGACGAACACCGCTCGTTTTGGATCGCGCCGCTTGGGGGTTGCCAATAGAATTCACGTGGCCAAAAGGCCGATTGACCGGTGAAGTCCCAACTAAAGTGTTCATCATTTTTCATCTACAGAAATGGTGTGTATCTGTTGGTAACTTTTCTTGTCATTTGCAAAACGGTCAGATCCCATACTTCTATCATCTTCTATCTATTTCATTTCTATTATCTATCCAATTCTATCCATCATTATCCATAAAATTTTCTAAATCCATCCTACCGAATCCAGCACCAGGTGGCGATCGGTGAGACCCAAGATGCTATAGATCGCCTCACTACCAGGGCGCAAATCTCCGAGGTCGGCGCCACGGGAACTGATTTCAGGCGGTTGGTACTGGTAACCTCCAGAAAGGATAAGTAAAATCCCACTAAAATATGGATAGTTATAGTGATCAATGACTTTTATAGTGATGAATGACTTTTATAGTGATCAATGACTTTTATAGTGATGAATGACTTTTATAGTGATCAATGACTTTTATAGTGATGAATGACTTTTATAGTGATCAATGACTTTTATAGTGATGAATGACTTTTATAGTGATCAATGACTTTTATAGTGATCAATGACTTTTATAGTGATCAATGACTTTTTGGATCTTTTCTTTGGGGTTAGCATGGTGGGATTTTTGCTTCTATGTCTTTTTTTTGGTGGTTGCGAGCAACCCCGAAATCTTGAAAATAGATAGAACAACTTGACCGCCTGGAAATGATGACATCTTGGAACATTTTTTTCCTATTTTTTTCTATTTTTTGCGGACACCTATAGATGAATCCATGGTTAATGTGTATCATCCCAATGTGGATCAGACACCAGAGTGTTGATGGGGCTGTAGTTTAACACTAAAATCTCATTACAAAACAAAAAATCCATGAAATCCCCATAAAATCCCCATGAAATCTTCATAAACTCCCTATAACATCCCCATAAAAACCCCATGAAATCCCCATTTCGGTGGAGATCCAACACATTTTTCGCTCCTGCGCCGGCTTTTTGAGGAGCATCGCGTCTTCAAGACCACGATCCTGGTGAATCCCAAGGTGACACCTAAGCCAGGCGCATCCATGGTGTCTCAAGCTGGACTCATGGTTCACCACCGATCTCCACAGATATTTATCTCCGATAAATTTCTGAAAAAGCATTTCAGAGAGAAGCATGTTGGTTAACATTTGTTATTCAGTCATGCAGAGATTCATGGCAGAGTCTTTTTTCACCATCCCCAATACCATGGCTCATGTAAGTAATTAATGCTAATATCATGAACAGAAATCCAGCATCTTTCATCTTTCAATCAGCTTTTCTGACGGCCCCACCAGGCACCTCGGACGCATACTTCTTCGAGAGGTTTTGGCGTCCCAGCGGTGAAACCCGTGGGACGACAATAGGAGATCAATGGATATATTATATGGGGATATATTATATTGAACTCTACAGGAATTCATCATATCTATTTGGTTGTGGTTTCAAACATGTCTATTTTCAACCCTAAGAATGGCATGATGATCCCCAATGACGAGCATATCAAGCATATCTCCTTGGTTGGTTCGTTGGTTAGTTGGTTGGATCCCAACTTGAATTGCTCAGGGTTTGGCCAAAGATCTTCAGATGTTCATCACTTGTCTGGGGGACTTCGAGGTGATGGTGATTGCTTTCATATCTAGGTGGATCGCAGCATTTTTCCTGATCGAATTCACCCAAGTAGCCTCTGGTAAACTAACATAACTATGGAAAATCACAATTTTCAATGGGTAAATCCACTATAAATGGCCATTTTCAATAGCTACGTTAAATTACCAGAGGGTAGCTTCCAGCATTTTTGCAAAGGTGGTGTGCTCCTGGAGTCAATGCCCTGTAAACCAAATCTGTAGAACCAATCCACCGGTGACTTGACATGGGACGCCCGGGTTTTTTGCACTCGCAGCTGTTTTGAAGTCGCACATTGCCATGTCAGACACGGCATAAATTTGGCACCAGATCACTTTCTGTGTGTCAAAACGGATGCAACCCAGGGGACTCCAAAACTCCATGGCTTTGGGTTGTTTTGATGATTATACAACACTTTTTTTTGGGGCTTGGTGCTGAGGGACCAAAGACGTGCATCATGTTAAAGTACAAATTTCTGTCCAACAACGGCATTACAATTGGCTTCCCCTGCCTGTAGGTGTTTTTTGGTTGTGAAGAATGAGTCTTGGAAAACTATTGGACAGCTGGTTCTGACCTCATAGTGTTGACAATATGACTTTAAACTTAAAGTTCTTGGAATGTTTCCAATACTTTTCAGCTCCAAATCTGTCCCCCCTTAAGGTGGTTCCACTCTCCCGCATGGGTCGTGCTGTCTTCGCCGTGGCTGCGGCCGTGCTGACGCTACGACACTGCAGCTTCGTGTCGCCTTCGGCCTTAGGTGTGGAGACCAGAGCTTGATGCAGTAAAAAACAGAACATCCTCCACAACTTGTCGAATCCACCGGGAACATTCCTTTCGCAACTCTTTCTAACTTTTTTTTGGTCCCCCTCCCGTTAAAAAAAATGAAATCAGGTGTTGCTTGGTAGAAACTGAACTTCAACGTCAGGGGCTGTGCGCCGTCCTGGCATGGCACGTCGCTTCTTCGGCATGGGCGCGTCACCTGCTGCAGTGGCTCCTTGTCAGATGATGGAGGAGTAGCACCAAGCAGCAATCGGAATAATCGTGTGAACGCGGTATGAATGACCAGGTTCTTATAGTTGGGTTAGTGATAGTGGTTCTTACATATGGGTTAGTGACAGTGATGGTAACCGAATAATTATCCATCAATGTCAACGACTGGCTGCTTTATTTTTCATGATGAACATCCAACAGAATTGCACGCATCATATAATGGAACAATTGACAGTGAGACACTCAGCCGTTTATGCATAGGTGTGTCATGATATATATATACCCACATATACATCAGCCATTTTGATATGAAACTGGGGTACCAGGATTTATCACAATTCCGCTTGTGCTTGATGCACATCCCAATGGTTCAGCAACTGGCAGGTCACCCGCAGGTCATTTTTGTGGCTTCTCTGCAGAGAAGCGCTAGGATAATTAAGTCGTATCAGCTCGTTCAAAGTCGTATCGGGAGGCGTGCGCTTGGAAAAAGTTCAATTTTGGCACTACCAGAACTTTCAATAAGTGCAACATTTCATTGTTTTGGAGCCGTGCGCCTGGAACAAGTTCAATTTTTGTATTGCGCTGATTTTTAAAACATATATTTAATCATTTTTTCTAGGGGGCAAACGCTGGTTGCTGCTTGTTTGCTGCTTGCTTGCTGCTGCTTGCTTGCTGCTTGCTGCTTCTGCTGCTTGCTCGGTGGATACGGATAGGACAACAAACTTCTTGCGAGCTGTCCACGACCTTGATGCACATCGCGCCAGCCATAGATTTGGTTGCGGAAAACAATGGGCCCCCATATCCTTCTATCATCCCAGATCATGGCCCTGCCAATAGGATTTGCTACAGCGAACCCATTTGCATTGCAAGCAATTTGAGGCTGTACCAGTAGGGGTTTGATTTGGTCACGCGACGCAGGACATCAATATAATATATTCAAATCCAATAGGATTTGCTGCCAAGAATTTGTTTGTATTGACTTGTGCTCTTCAAAATCATCACTGTGCGCAATGCTTCGGCTACTTTTAAGTAAATCTCCAATTACAGATGAAATAGGCTGTGCCATGGTTTTTCTTCTTCCCTGATGTGACTTTGCACTACCTGATGTGACTTTTCCCAGCCTGATGTGACTTAAGTACGGTGCTTGTATGGGGGTTGTTGTCCAATCAATCTGGATTTCTGTTGGTTAAATTACAATTTCTGGTGGTGACATCCGATTTTCTGTTGGCAAATGTCAAATTTCTGTTGCTAAATTCCTGTTCCTGGTAAGACCTAGGTTATTCTCCCGTCACACCCTCCAACTTTAGCATGGAAACCCAAGTATTGTGGGTTTGGAAGATGATATTCTGCACTTGGATACCGCCATACATATCGGCTCCAGATAATTTTTTTAGATGCTCATAGACTATCATCTAATGACATCCACCGGTTTTTCTTGGTGAAACGTTGGTGAAATCAGTTAAATCATTGTTAAATCTCATTTCTACATTTTTGTTGCTTGAACCAGTAGTACATCCCATTTCTGCTGGTAAAAACCCTGGGTTCTCCTCCTTTTTCGCAGGCGGTGGCCGACGCCGCGCCCAGCTGGGAGGATCTGAAAGCCCGGCTGGACAGCGAAGCGCCACCGGAACTGAAGGCGCGCGCCCCTTTGATGGGGAGATCATGGGGGATGTTTTTCAATAATCATCAGATATATATATAATATAGTGGGATAGTGATAATAATGATGATGATAGTGATAGTTATAATATGTTATAATGTCATGTGGATATGTATATAATTATATAATATAGTTATACATACATATACATGCTATAATAGCAATTACATATATAATATACTACCACTATATTACATGATAGTGTCAGCAATAGTAGTGATTATGATGTTGATCATGCTAATGATGATAATAATACTTAATAGATAGTAAACACATATATATATAATAGTGGGAAATGTATATTATGATGATAATTATATATAGTTATTATATCATGGGGGTAATAGTTATATAATAATAATATTTGTTGATATACCATGATAATGTGAAACAACTGGAGAGCATGATATAGCAACAAACACAATGATAAGAAAACACACAACAACAATATATGACAATAATAGTCATAATTCATAATATGATAATATTAATGATGATGATATGTTCTCATCATGATATTACATCTTGTATCATAGGATGATCTTGATAATGATAATGATAACAACAACAACAACAACAACAATAACAATCACAATAATTCTGATTATCAAAAATCAGAATAACAATATCACTAATACTACTGATAATAATATTTAGATTTGGGGACACCATGGTAAAATATAATAATGACAATAATCATTGGGGTAATACGGAAGAATGGCGAATTGTCGATTTAGTGGTGAGCATGATGATCAACAAGTGGATTTTTGGGGTTTTGGGTAAGGTGCTTGTTTTTTTCTCCCATGGGAAATCCGCTCGAGAGATCCAGCCTTCTTGAATCCTATTTTTATTTTAGTCTTGTCGAATCGGTCTCCAATCTAAATCGAAGATATCGAAGTCTGGATCTGAATCCAAGATGATCATCTGCAATCTAGCGTAATGTGATTGAAAATAATCAAATATGGTCTACTCGAAAAAAAATCCGTAGAGTCGTAGAGCATCTGTCGACGCGTTCGGCTGACTCTGTTAGGCCCGGTACTGGTAACTCGGTGGTGTCACCCCGACGCTGGTGCTTGGTTGATATATATTGGCTGCAATAGGATACTTTATAGGACCATTATAACCACAGAATAACTGACTAACTGACTATCATATTTTTGAATCATTGAGGATCCCATAGAATCGCATTTTTTCACCCCATGTATGCCCAGATGATCAGATGTAATTCTGCTAGTCATTGCCCCCACAGAAAACACCGTCCTGACCTTCCAAAGTCCGGCGTCAGGACTTTCGAAGCGGCCTGGCCAAAGGGGAAGTGGCCAATGCCATGGCCAACTTGCGCGTCTTTGACAAGGCGCTGTGAGACAACTTAGGTACCTCAAATCGTTGGTATGTATATATGCTACCCCCCCAAAGATCTACCATTTTCAGCTTTTTGTTGATGTTAAAGAGGTAGTATTTGTTGGGAACCTTTTGCAAAAACAAAGTAGGTACACTATTACTTTCAAAAATATGAGCACATACTCAGGTCAGAAAGCACAACATTTCTTGAAGGAAGCGATCTGTTTTAAATTGCAGCATTCCTTTCCATGCTTGAAAAAAGGCAGCTTCATTCATAGACTGCAATTTTCCTTCCAGACAAAGTATGACTTCGTTCAAGAAACAGTACCCCTACAAAATATAGAGCATTCCTCTAAACATGCAGTGTTTTCTTTCTGAAGAAGTGCAGTCTTCCTTTCAAACTAATATTAAGCCTTCCTTCAATCATACAGTATTTTTTTCAGAACACCAGATTCCAACATTTTGGATATGTCTGTGTTTTTGATGCGACAGAGTAAGAATAATATCTTGATCAGCAATTTTTAGTCTACAATGAATATATATAGCTTCATTATAGATTCCATATACTTTAATATACCAGTGAATTGACCATAAACATATCTTTAATAAACCTTTAGTAAACCTTTGGCATACCTTCAATATCCCCTTTTAAATACGATTAAAAAAACAACTTTAATCTTTCATTCAATATACCTGTAGCATTCCATTGGATAGTGATGAAGCTACCTTTAATATACAATTTAATTGGCCTTGAACATACCTTTAGTATACTTTAAATATACCTTCAATGCATAGAACTTCACTATACCATTTAATCTGCCTTAGATATACCATTTTATTGGCCATGAAAACATCTTTAATACACCTTTAGGATACCTCTCTACCTCTAGCATACCTTTTATTTCCATTTAATTTGTCTTTAATAAACCTTTAATGTACCATCTATACTTAGCTTACCATTTAAGAATCGTTAATGTTCCATTTGATATACCATTAATTAATACTATTAAAAATGTCGTTTACTACGCCTTTAGTATACCTTGAAGGTATATACCTTTCATATACCATTTAATTGCCCTTGAAAATACCACTATGCCTCCAAAATACCTTTTACTTACCATTTAGTTTGCCTTTAATAAACCTTTAATATACAATCTATACTTAGTTTACCATGTTAGAATCATTAATATTCCATTTGATATACAATTGCTATATGATTTTATATGGTTTTAGCATACCATTTTATATACCATGAATCTACCTCTAACATACCATTTGATTGACTTTGAAAATATCTTTAATATACCTTTAGTATACCATCTAATCCACCTCTAATATACCATTTAATATACCTGTAGTATACCTGTAATATTCCAGTCTGGCCATGAATCTAAATAATATATATATCTTTAGTATATCTTTAAAATACCATGTGTTTTCATTAAAAATGGCGCTTACAGTACTACACCTTTAATATTCCTTGCAGGTATATATACCGTATTATACACCTTTAATATACAATTTAATTGACCTTGAGCATACCACTATACCTCTAACATACCTTTTATTTAGCCAAGATCTGGATTCGAGAAGTTTCTCCCAGAATCTTGAATCTTGAATCTAGGAAAGTTTGCAAAGTTTGCATTTTTTTTGGGATTCAAGATTCAAGATTCAAAGAAAAACTTCTTGAATCCAAGACCAGGCCTGGATTCAAGGAGTTTCCTCCAGAATCTTGAATCTTGAATCCAGGAAAGTTTGCAAAGTTTGCAAATTATTTGGGATTTGCTACGTTTTGTTGATTCAGCGCATGCCTGTGTATATGTATATGTGTTTATTTAAATATATATATATGGTTCCCCCCTTTCAATTAATTGCTCGATTATCATCCCAAACCACAAGATTTCAAAAAGGTAGGTCAAAAATGGTAGAACTTTTGCGGGGGGATACCGTACATATATATATACATAGTATATATATAGTATATATATAGTATATATATATAGTATATATATATAGTATATATATAGTATATATATACATATAGTATATATACATATAGTATATATACATATAGTATATATATACATAGTATATATATACATAGTATATATATATATACATAGTATATATATACATATATATAGTATATATATAGTATATATATAGTATATATATAGTATATATATAGCGTATATATATAGTATATATATAGTATATATATAGTATATATATAGTATATATATAGTATATATATAGGTTATATATAGTATATATATAGTATATATATAGTATATATATAGTATATATATAGTATATATAGTATATATATAAATACATGTATGTATAGTTGGGACTGGTCAAAATACCTATCGTGATGAGGATACAATAAGGGTTCAAACCAACCATAATGGACATATAATGAATGGACATATAATGCTGACACATTTACTGTGGTCCGATGGGCCTTAACATTCAACCGAGATGGTGATGGATGGTTTCTTCCGCGTGTTGGATGTCCTGAAAACAAAAAATGGAACTCAAAACCGTGGGTTTCTCACAGCAAGAAACACATTTAGCCAGCACATGGACCCCTTATTCCCAATTTTTCCACCATTTCTGTGACTAAGGTGCCCCTTTTTGCTGAAATCTCTTGTTCTTCGTTTCCAACATTTTGCTGGCGAAATCCCAGCAATTCTTGATCAAACCTAGCATTTTCTTGGTAAACGCCCAAGTGTTCTTGCTTAAATTCATGTGAAATCCCAATTTCTCTTGCTGAAATCCCAGTTTTTCATAGTAAAACCCCAGTTTTTCATAGTAAACCCCCAGTTTTTCATAGTAAAACCCCAGTTTTTCATAGTAAAACACAATCTTTCTCAGTGTAAAAAAAACCCTGGTGGATGATCGCCCCAAAAAATCTCCGGGTTCACCAGGACGCCGAGACGGCACAGAAGGTGACGTTGTACCGAGACTCGGCCTCCTGGTGCCCCTACTGCCATAAGGCCATGGTTTGGCTTGTTGAGGTGAGTGGTGGGTCCTTTCAGGTCGTTTTTTCTTTTTTCTTTTACTGTGTGTTCTTTTGAATGTACTCTATAGATATAACATAACATAGTATGATATGATATGATATAACATAATATAAGATAGTTAATATGATATGATATGATATGATACGGTATGATATATATATATATATGCATATCATGTAAAATAATGTATATATATACACATATCACACATATATATATAATATACACACATATCAAATATATCTATATATACATTTATCATATATGTATATATAAATATATATATATACATATCATATATATATACATATCATATATATATACACATATCACACACACACAGACAGACAGACAGACAGACAGACAGACAGACAGACAGACAGACAGACAGACAGACATACATACATACACACATACACACATACACACATACACACATACACACATACACACATACACACATACACACATACACACATACACACATACACACATACACACATACACACATACACATACACACATACACACATACACAGACACACAGACACACAGACACACAGACACACAGACACAGACACAGACACAGACACAGACACAGACACAGACACAGACACAGACACAGACACAGACACAGACACAGACACAGACACACGCACGCACGCACGCACGCAGACATACATACATACATACATACATACATACATACACACACACATACATACATACATACATACATACATACATGTGTATATATATATATAAAGGGGAGAGGCTGGGGGTTCTCCCCATAATCAATCCAAAATTAACCTGTAATCAACAACCCATCAAATTCCTTACCACACAGCAGGTCTGGATGCTCTTGGAAGAGAAGCAAATCCCGTACAACGTGAAACGGGCGACCTGGCCGATGGCCGTGTTTCAACGGGTCAAGATTGAAATACCCAGGGAACCATAGTATTTGGATCCTCCACGCTGAACCCCTAACATGGATTTTGTAAACGGCAGTTCTTTATGAAATGGGTGGAAAAACATCCTTCAAGCTGAGTTTGGCGGATGTATTTGGTTATCAATCTATTGGCTGACGTTTGATTTATAACTGACATGTATAACATATAACCATGCTACGAGTCTAGGGCCTACGGGAAAACATCCACAATCAACACCGAAAGAACTGATTGGTAGTTTGACATATTTTCAATTTTGCGCCATATGACTGGGATAATGATGCCCATTCACGAGCATATTTTTTTAGGTGGCGAAACCACAAACCAGCACAGTATTTGGCTATCAATCTATCGAATGTGAAGTAGGATACGGATAGAATATGATTACAACATATTATGATGGCAATTTTAAGTACCCTCTGGTAAACTAACATAGCTATGGAAAATCACCATTTTTAATGGGAAAACTCACTACAAATGGCCATTTTCAATAGCTATGTCAGCCATTACCAGAGGGTATACGTCGTACTATTTTGTTCTATTATTTTTCGGAGCGGCTTTTGTGGCCCCAGAATTCATGATGTTATCAACTGCGTCTTCCGTTCACCAGTTGATGATTCTCATGCAAAGCATAGGCATTTGGGTTGTTCAAGAACGATCCAAAGTCTTTGAACATGTTGAAACATCTCCCCATATTTGATGATTATGTATCTCCATTGTTGGTGGCGAAATTGCATGTTTTGCGATGGCTTGTGGTTATCACGTCCCTAAGAACATGACCACAAGCCATGTTTTTCGTGTTCAATTTCAAACATCACACCTTTTATCATCGTCCCGCAGAAATGTCCTACATCGATGATAACATATCCAATCAAGTGCTCATGGATGATATCCCATGAAATCCCCATGAATATACCATAATTGATTAAGTATCTCATTGATATCCCATGAAATCCCCATGAATATACCATAATTTTCATTAAATATCTCATTGCTATCCCATGACATCCCATGAAATTTCACGGTCAAATCGTCACTTTCTTCAGGTGAACATGGCATGCTACGGTCAGAAGCCGCCCGATTTCTTAGCCTTGCAGCCCAATGGGCAAATCCCCGTGGCAGTGATCGATGGCACCGTGCTGAGGTGTGGTTTTATGGAGGGAACTGCAGAACACGGGAGCCCACTTTAAGTGACATCAGTGATATCCCACTATGGTGATATCCCGTAGTGATATCCCACTATGTTCTTCCAATATCAAATATATATATATATAAACGATTCTTGATGGTTAGTAACTAACCGTTTCGGTGTTTACATATGAGACCAATGGAAAGCTGTTGTTCTTTCACTTGCTGACATGTGCACATATATCCCCATTGTATGCAATTGCGATGATATCACATCATAATTATTTTTCCCACATCAAAAAAAAACGATTCTTGACGGTAAGATCCAGATCTCTACTTACGTTTTGGTGGTTACCATCCGGCGACATGACGACCCTGCCATGGGTTGGGGATTGGAAGGCTACATTCCTTTTGTGTTGCGGGGATGCTAAGCAGCACAATTTTTTGGGGAATCACCCAGAAAATTTGGGGATTTCACAGGGCTTTCATCGAGCTAATGTGCTGCTGATCTAGCATGGATGTTCTCCCGTCTGTAGGTGAGACACTGATCATTAGTCCCACAAAAGGGATCAGTCATAGTATAGTATAGTATAGTATAGTACAGTACAGTATAGTACAGTACAGTATAGTATAGTATAGTGGGAATATCATGGAATATCTGATATTATCTGTTTCTAAATCCTGCTGATTTTACCATTGGAATATAGGAACCCCAGTCATCTGTGGGACCGTGGGGACCATTGGATGTACTGCCAGGTCCTCAGATGCCATCATCGATCGTATGGAGCTTGGTGATTTCTACGCGGAAAAACGCTGTTGAAAAACCCATGGAATTTCCAACCACGATTTTTTTGGAGGATTTTCCCAGCTATCAACATCCATAAATGGAGTGGATTTCCATGCTATCTTTGATTATCGGAGGATAGTCATGAGTATAAAACTGTTCATGAAGGTGAGACCTCCAGTGCGACTGGCTGAGTTCCCGGGTTTGATTCCTTGACTCCCAGGCGGCTTAAGATGTTTTACCGAAAGTTGTTGAACACATCGAGGGCGGCGGAAAACTCCCATCTCTTCTAGGGATGTTCCTCTTATATTGCATCTATAAACAGAGGTTGGGTTCACTTTGAGAACATATGTGACGTTGAACACATCTCTCCTGAGATCGACCTATGCTTTCAGCAGCCTCCATTGATGCTGTGCATTGAGGTATTCTACAAATGCCCGGTGCCAGCCCTGAGATTGACCAAGAGTTGGATCCCTTTGACCACCCGCAAAGCACGATGCTGGGCAAGGCAAACCTCACTATATTTATGAGCCCCAGACATGAACAGATCCAATACAAATCCAGCGTTCTAGGGGGGTACTTTCAGGGGGAAGGGATTTTGTCATCAGCATTTCAATTGATGTTTCGTCCCTCATTTTCGTTTGCGGAAATGTAAGGCTGTAGGCTCAGGAGACACCCAGAGTTCCACAGAGGCCTAGTCATTTTTCTTCTTTAGATGTCAAAATCTTTCTTCTTCTTTAGGTGCCGCAATGTCCAAATCTCCCCGGAGATTGTGGCTGATTCTGGCCTGCCCGGAAGCCAACAGAAATGGGTCAGATCCCGCATCCTAGGAACCTGCTGCGCTTGGAACGCGTGTTGTTCTCGACCTGGTTGGGTTGGCTCTGCCGCGGTGGTGGAAGATCTGACTTCGAACGAACGCTTCGCAAGGCGGTGGAAAAGCTGTCACCTCAGCCTCCCAAGGAAATGATATCCATATTCAAGACAGGGAATGTTGTAGTAACAATATGTAACAATGGTTCAATAGTACGTACATATGTATACATATATATTCTGTAATATACAATTATATGATAGATAATTACTGATATATAGATATTTTATACATGATTCATACAACACATTAGTGGTATGGCTTGATGTTTTTGTGCAGCTAAGGTCTTCTTATGCATCTGTGAATCTTTGTGACACCTCGATGGCAGGTGGAAGATACCCTGAGCGAAAATGGTGGCCCCTTCTTTTTGGGCGAGCGCTTTTCTCTGGTGGACATCATGTGCCCGCGGCCTGTTCATGTGCCGATCAACGGGACCCGGCAAGCTCTAGTGGGAGATTCCCGCTGATTCATGTACATGTACATATACATATATATATATTTACAATAGATTATGTACCGATAGTTAATAGTTATATTTAATTACATATATTTAGAATTATATATATATATTTCACATACATACAGTGGCAACTCACTTTGAACAACCACGAGATGATTTTTGCAACAATCTCCAGATGAGGGATCACCATGTCTCTCGATTTTTCTATATGCAAGTATGACACAAATATATGCACATTATTTGTCTATGTAACTACATGTATGTACAAATGTATGTGCATGTTAGCACTCAGTTTTTTTTAAACAGAGATCGCGCGAACACCGTGGCGCAGTTTGCCTTTCGAAAGGTACACTCCTTTCATCGAACGGGCAGTAGCATCGCTGGCTTACTTCAAGGCGCTTGTTCTATGATGGCTTGATATTCATGACTTCAACTGGTGCGTCCACCTAAACCTGTGATAAATAAATATGTATATATATAATTATATATATATACATAATATAAATATGGGATATCCGTGCGAATCGACTCAGATCCTTTAAGTAATGTTTCGCTCATTGAGCAGTCTTTTGACATCTGCAGGTTTAGCACGGCAAACAATGGAGACTCGGTCAGACTGGGTGATATCCACAGATTCATCTCCATCCTGCCCCCATTTGGCCATATCTACAAGGTGGCAATGTATGAATTTCCCACTTTCACTGGGAAAATCATCTCCTTCCATGCTGGAATCGTCGAATCTCCATGAATCGCCCAAGTTCCAGATCTTGCAGGGCTACAACATCCGGGAGAAGTTGATGTTTCCTGCCATCAACCGATGGTTCGACGCCATGGAGACGTATCTTGGCGATTTTGACAGATGCCCATTTTGTGGGTCAATTCAATGGGATTTCCAGGATATATAGGAGATGGTAGGTACCTCCATTTTAGGATCCTGAAATGGCCATTGATCAAGGTCCATTTTTGTTTTGGCGTTTTGAGTTTCCTTAAAAATGGTGTGCAGATTTAAGTACGTCCACTAAAATTGTTCTGGAAAATCCCAACGAGGTGATTCCTCCCATTCGACAACCACCCCTCAAAAATCTTCAACGTGTCGAGTTTGGTCTGTGATGTCCATGGTACTTTAAGCAACCTTCCCCAGTTTTTCTTGGATCCTTCTCCAGCTTTGTTGGTACAACCACCACCCAGGCGCAGCAGCTATCGTGCCACCAAGTCGGATTACTACACCCATGCCCACGACCTTCCGCCTCAGCTGGGAGGATGTCAATCTGAGTCAGGCACAGGGCCGCAGGGCCGCAGGGCCGCAGGGTCACAGGGCCGGGGCCGTTAGGGCATTCTTTTGGGACAGCTGCGGTTGTTTCTTCTGGGGGATCCATAGGATGTTTTGTTCTATTTTGGGAACAAACCAATTTTAGTTGGAGAGGAACCATGTGGAGTTTGGGAAGAAATTCAAAACTCCAGTAGAAAAGATCAGCTCAGAGCAGATCTCAGAAAAACAGAGATTTTTGGACACCATCTCAGCACATCACAATGGCCTTACTGGCCTCAGTAAATCAGGAGTTGGCTGAGTGCAACTGGGGTAGGTCTACCCCCCTGAAATGGCAACGAACAACAGAGAAACTCATGGATTCATGAATTTCAGCCGGGCCAGTGCCATAAACCTACCATGTGGGGATGGTTTGAATCCCACCCATCAAACATGGTGATGACTTGGGGATGATGACATAGGGTGGATCCCACATTAGGCCCATCTTAGCCAGGTGGAGAGTCAGTGCGGAAAGCCATCGATGGTGGAGACTGGCAGTTCCTTGGTACATGGGCCATGTCAACAACAGAAACTTCAGGTCATTAGATGAGGATTTGAGGAGAACTTCAACAACGATGGAGGATGGGCCAACGTTATGAACCACCCCAGCCCGCACATTTGGTCACTTCGAGTTTTCAAGTGTTCTAGGGCAAATCCAAAGTTAGATCCCAGATTGTCCATTAGGAGATCCAACTTCAGATCCTAATTTGTCCCAATCGTCCAGAGGAACACATCAATTTGTCCTAGGGCTTAACCTCCGCGAGTCATTGACGGCCCAATCTCCAATGACATCCACCAAGCCACCAAGCGTAACCACCTGCGCAGAAAATGATGAAATCGGGGCCTCATTTTGCCACGTTTCTGAACATGCAGTGTTTCTTGTATATAATATTTGATCATCTTTTTTATAGACCTTGAATACGTTCCTTGGTATCATGTAAAGATTAACATGTAGAATCTTACACACACACACTGCAAACCATTTCAGCATAATGTTATGATTTCTTTGTTAAGATTTGTAGTGACATTTTGGTCATTCTTCTGTTCTTCTGAATGTTTTTCTCTCTCAGGGTGGTTCCAAAAATATCTCCATAGATGCCCAGAGATCTCCGGAGATCTATGTAGACAGACTGGAGATCCCCGGTGATTCCTGGAGAGTAAAAAAGAAATAGAACCAATACTAAATGTAGTACATAGCCTGCAGAGGGGGAGTCGTTTTTTTTTTTTTTCGAACCCCCCTTAATATATATATATGATATATATATGATACATGTATTAATATGTTTTTTTTCTTTTGGGCTCCTCCCTCCTCCAAAGCTCCAAATTCTTAGGGTGATTCCTAACATCTCCATAGATCCCTAGAGATCCCCAAGGAGATCCCCAGAAAGAATACCAAAAGAATACCAAAAGTAGCCCTACTATACTGTTCCATATGTATATAATATAATATATATATATATATGTATATGTATATGTATATATATATATATTTATGTATATATTTATGTATATGTATATGTATATATATACACGCACACTTTACATAATCAAAATCTATATGGAGGACTTGGATCATAACTCTATCCCGACTGTACCGTTCTATATGCACTTTACAGAATCAACATCTGCATGGAGGATTGGGGTCATAACTCCAGCTCTACTATCTTGTTCTATATGGATTTTATAGAATCAATTGCAATAAGAACTAAATAGCAGCAAATAGTTGAAGAGTACTGTAGCAGAAACAAAGCAAATCAAATGAAATACAAAAGACACATAAAAACATAAGACTATCAACATAAACAACATCAACTATTAAAAAAACATGCCTATTTTACGTGGAAATTTGGGCCTCCTATTTCGTCATGCTCTCAACGATGGTTGGCAGTGTTCAACAGAAATTCATGAGGCTGAGGCTGAAATAATCAGGAGCATCATCATTTCTCCCCAGACATCATCATTTCATTGGTTTTCCCCCCAGCAATCCACCAAGAAATTGCTATGCTTGATCCCAAGGCGGTGCACCTTATTTATATGGCCATAGCCACCAAATAGCCATGTTATTTTACCCTCTGGTAAACTAACATAACTATGGAAAATCACCATTTTTAATGGGAAAATCCACTATAAATGGTCATTTTCAATAGCTATTTTGACATAACCAGAGGGTAAACCCTATGAAATCCCATGAGATCATCCCAAGGTGCACCCCACAAGCATCACATTTCTCAGAAATCCCATCCCCACCAGCCTGGTGCTGGCAGGTTACCGCTGGCCAAGTCCATTGAGCCCGAATGGTCTTGGATCTCGGCCAGGGACGCCCGCCTAGAGGCGGCGGAACGCATCATCCACAACCACGAGGAACCGGGGGATGGGAATGGACCGGAAAACATCGGCAGATTTTTCGATTTTTTTCGGATTTGCATAAGTTGTTACAGGTGTTTTGTAATATTTGTATTTGTTGTACTTGTTGCAATTTTTTGCTGCAATTGTTGAGTAGGCGTAGGCGTAAGTTGTTGTTTACAATGGTATTTACACCTGTATTTACATTTGCAGCAGCAGCAGCAGCAGAGCAGCAGCAGCAGTAGTCGTCGCACCCTAACAAAACTTTAAGCCACCCCCACATAGACCCTGAACCAATCCTAAATATCCCTAAATGAACCTTAAACTAATAACCAGTTCTAATCAAACAACTTTAGCAATTATTCTGGTAGTTGAACTATATTTATGCATCAGCTATCCATAGTGTACACATATATCCAAAAATAAACAACCATGTCCAATTGAACAAATAGAAACGGCAGTTTCTTAAGTCATGCGGGATCCCCAAGTCTCCATATGATCGTTTTTTCATACTAAAGTCAGTCATCCATGACTTTGATATACTTTGATGGCTTTCAAACCTAAACAATGATCTAATTTTGGATGATTTGGAAAGGTAGCCCCACTTCGGAAAGCTCCATATGAACCATTCTCAATCCATCTTAATCCACGATTCACCGTTATTTAATCATTACTAACCACCATTAGAACCATGATTCATCCACTATTAACCACTAGTTCTAGTGGTTAATAGTATCCCTATTGGTTAATATTACTAACCATGTTGGTTAAAAATTCACTATTACTACTAACCACTATGAATATCACCATCATTAATTACTATTAACATCTGGTTATGACTAACAGTTCGCCATGGAAAGATCCACCATTTTAAAGTTCGGGAAGCCATCTATTTCGATTAGGGCCATCTATTTTCCATAGCTGTGTTAGTCATGTTAGTCATAACCAGGTAAGCCATCTATAAATGGGCCATTTCCCATGGCTATGTTAGTCATAACCAGAGGGTAATTAACCACTAGTAATTTAACATAGCTATGGAAAATCACCATTTTGAATGGGAAAATCAACTATCAATGGGCCATTTTCAATAGCAAACTGTTAGTTTACCGGAGGGTAACCACTAGTATCCCATATCTACCGATGATCCCTTGGATGACCTATCGCTGATATTCGCCCTAGGCCGTGGCACGCTTCGCGGCGCGCGCCAAGAGTGGTCCAGGCTTTCCACCCGCCTGGGCGGAATTGGCAGATCCCAATGTGCCGAGATTCCGAGAGCAGTTGGTGGGGGGCCCCTTGGTAAACTTCCACATAACTCACAGAAAACTAACATTTTTCTATGGAAAATCACAATTTTTAATGGGAAAATTCACTATTTCTATGGCCATTTTCAATAGCTATTTTGACATAACCAGAGGGTAACTCACATAACTATGGACAAAAACCTACCATTTTTAGTATTTTCTAGCTGGGTTTTTATCAACTATAAATCGACTGGGCCATTTGAAAAATAGCAAACTGTCAACGTTTACCAGAGGGTAAAGATCCCATGATTTTGTTTGGCTTTCTACCATCCTATAAAAACTAGCGCAGGATTTTGCAACCATCCACAGTATTTCAGGACACTAAGATAGAAGTTTTTTTTTTTTTTTCCGACGATTTAATAGGCCATCTTCTTAGTGTCTTGAAATCTACTATAATTAATCCATACAGTTCTTTTGGAGAATGGGTGAGTTTCATGGCTTATACGGTTATATATAATCGCCACCCCTTTAAGGCAACTTTTTAGGGGAACCATACCAAAATGTAAGCTACATTTTTTGGGACCTCCCTTAAATGTAAAATTGGTTGCTGAACGTCCCCCAGGTGCCGTTTTTGTGGGGAGGGTCCTCAAAATACCTTCAAAATGTAAGCTTACATTTTCAAGGGCCCCCTCAAAAACATCTTGAAAAATGTAGCTTACATTTTGGGTACGTCCCCCCTCCTTAGAACTGTGGTGATTATATATCAATATATACGTCCTACTATGTTAATCACTGGGATATATAATCATCAATCCATGGGAATTTCAACAAACAAAATGGACATTTTACAAAAAAAAAGGTATTTAGCCGGTGAATTTTAATTGTAGGGAGGTTCCTGAATTCGGACGCCCCAAGTTCTCATGCAAGCTATTGGTCATTTTTGGTGAAGAGAAACAATGGTGATAAGGGGTGCCTTAATTTTGAGAAACACCCATGTTGGTAAGTTGAATGTTCAACATATTTTGGTACGGTTCAAGATTCTCTTATCGCCCCCGAAATCATGATAACTGTTTTTATAAATGTCTTAACTTCATTGAGTTTTACGGAGTTCTTTTTTTCTCGAGTACACCCCCAATTTTGGCAGGCCAATTTTGGCAGGCCAATGCTCAACGAATATCGTTGGTCATGACCCAGTTGCAGTGACCCCCAAAATGGAGGGTAAACATTCAAATCAGAGGATCGATTTTGGGTTCCAGGTATAGAATACATATATATATATATAACAACGTATGTATATAAAACAAATATATATATGTATATATGTATAAATCTATTATACAGGATGATGCCAGAATTTGGCTAGACCGCGTTTGGCCAAAGCTGCACCGACCCAGGCCCAAGCTGCCGAGAAGTGGGTTCCCATCATGGATGTGTGCCTATACCATTGGGTGATCTTGTGGTGGGCATGACCAAAAGATGTCCGTGCGATTTTTGGGCTTTGAAACATCAACTTACCATACAATCCACTGAATGGGTAAGTACAAATCATGGCCCCAAACTCAAATTGTGACTGGACTCTTTCACCTCATTGAAATTGTAGATTTGCAGCTGATTCTACCTCCTACAACATCCACCCTTAGAAAACCCAATTTGTGTTCCAATGGATTTTCCGCCCTGTGGGCTGGTAGAACGGCACTTATGCAAGTTCATCTCGAAGAGACGTGGCTGGACTGGGTGCGAGGAAATCATTTTTAACGTCAATCAAGGTCCTCTGTGGTTATGAACCCACAACTTACAAGAATTTCCTTCTTCAAGTGATCCTCACCAACTGACATTCTATCTGACGTATATTTTGACATTCTATCTCGCATTCTTTCTGGCATTCTATCTGACATATATTCCGACATTCTATTTGGCATTCTATCTGGCATTCTATCTGGCGTTTTATCTGACATTTTATCTGGCAGATATTCTGGCATTCTATCTGGCATCTAGCATCTAGTCCGACATTCTATCTGGCATATGTTCGGGTCCATGCGTGCCCCACTGCATCCGCAGCTCGCGAGAATGCTCGGGTCCAGCGTGCCCCAACTCAGCAGGATCTATCAATGAGCTTCTGGCACGTGCTGAGCTCCGGGTCTATTGGTGCCCACAGTCACAATCAACTGGCAGAAGGAGAAGGAGGAGGAGGAGGAGGAGGAGAAGGAGTGGCACCTTTGTTAAAATCTAGAGACCCTCACTTGGCAGGTTGGGAAATAGTAATTTCTCATGTCAGCCTCCAGCATGCATTTCTCCTTGCTTCAATCCCGTATAATATATACACATATACGCGTGTCTATCCATCTATGTATATATGTATACTATATATATATATATCAAAAAAAATGCATATCTGCATACGCATCTAATCAATATGTCTGTCTGTCTGTCTGTCTCTCTATCTATCTATTCATTCTATTCCATTCTATTCTAACTCTAATTCTAATTCCAATTCGAATTCTATTCTGTTCCTTTCTATTCTATGCTATTCCATTCCATTCGATTGTATTCCATTCTATTCTCTTCTGTTCTGTTCCGTTCCGTTCCGTTCTGTTCTATTCTCTTCTCTTCTCTTTTGTTCTGTTCTGTTCTGTTCTATTCTATCTATTGGATCTATTCCATTTGTTCTATATATATGCTATCTATTCTATCTAATCTATCTTATCTACCTGATCTATCTTATTCTTGTCTATCTTGTCTATCTTGTCTACCTTTTCTTCCTTATCTACCTAATCCATCAAACCTACCTAATTTATCCAATCTATCTAATCTACCTAATCTATCTAGTCTATCGACTCTACCTATCTACTTATCTATACTTATCTACCTATCTACCTATCTACATATCTATCTATCTCCTTATCTACCTATCTGCCTGTCTACATATCTACATATCTACCTATCTACCTAGCTATCTATAAATCAAATTAATCTAATCTAATCTAATCTAATGTATTTGTATACACATATATACATATAATTGATTACATCATTCCAGGGATATGATATGACCTTCGTATGCTGAAACTATCCTCCGTTTGTACATGGAAGTGGTGGGGGCTTTTCCTTAAGATGTTCAGACGCACCCGAAATCGGTGTCTTTGAAGTTGGAGATCCCTGCGCCCACTCCCAGTGCTCTCCAGTTTCCTGCGCCATGCGGTGAACCTGCTGATGGCCGGCGATGCAGCCGCCGCGGATCGTCGCCCGGCGCTACCTGGGAATCTTCCAAGAGTCAAGATCGATGCCTAGCCACGGCTTCCCACTGGGGCTGAGTGTCCACCAATTCCGCCCCTTTTTTTGGAATTGTTGACCGGTCAAGTGGATTTCAGGTAGCCCCCAAGAACTGGGTTTGGAAGATGATTATACTATGCACTCAAGATGGCCATGTTGGGTTTCCGCGTTGAATTTTGGGTGTGTATTAACTAACAACACAACCCGCATCTATTGTCCCCAGTCAAAAACACAAATGTCCCACTGGTTTGACCCTGACGGCCCTTGATGGTTGCAGCTTAGTCACTTAAATGGTTTATTTAAGTTGCCAATGGTCAGTAGACACCAATTCATCCTATACATCCCTGATACACTGCAAAGACATTTGTTTACATTTGTTTACACTAGCACAAATCACCACAGCAACACGGAAGCATGTTTTTTTTTTCCATATGGTTCCGTGGCTGAAATATCCCCATTGATCCCAACCCCCTCAATCCCCTAGTATGGAATACCCTCCAAGCGAAATAGTGGTTGAGTATCGGATCTTGGAGGATGGGTTTTTATGCATTTTATTCCCCATGAAAAAATGGCATGATTGGCTGACTATACCATATATCTCACAATTTTTCCATCATTGAATCTTGATGGCACCATTTTCCATTTTCCACTGGCTATGATGGGTTCTCAGGGCATTTTCTCGCCCCAAAAGGCGACGAAAGCACCGTGGAGCGCGCTGCAGCCTGGGCTGCGGCAGAGGAGTCCCTGAAGTCGCTGAAGCGCGAAGATCGTGACTCAGCGCCGCATAAGCGCGCTGTCATGTGGCCCTGGGAGTTTAACGATCAAACATGGAGGGTTCAAAACGGGGTGCCTTAGGGTAAAGATGGGAAACCTTAGGACAATGATTTGCAACTGGTGGGCTTCCACATCTATCTTAGTTTACAGGAGGGCAAAGCGCGATGAAGGGTAGCTTAGCAGGTTAATCTTTGCTATCAGTGGAGATATATGACGAAGCGGCTTTGAAAAATATCGGGTATCTAAGGTTGGCCATGGTAAGTAGAAGCATAGCATGTGATAAGACCATAAATAGACTTCAATTGTGGTGGCTTTTCAGTTTTGGGTTTACCTCATTAAGTATTATATATGTAAATTTAATGTGCATATTGTATATTTGTATTTACATGCATATGTATATATATATATGTATATGGCTTTGGCTCAAAACCTATGAGTTTCCCATGTGAACAGGGGTATGAACATGCACAACTACCAGCTATTTTAATCTTCACCAGGGGTAGAGGGCCTTGGGGTGAAATCCCCATGACGTGAGGTGAGGATTTGGCCGAATGCTTGAGATATTTGCAGCAGAGAGTAGGCGGGGAAGGGGTTTTGTTGTGTGCATATATTGTTTTTATGATATTCATAGTATTCACTATATTCATGATACTCATTAGTTATTATTTATTTTGTTGATATTATTTATATTGTTGTTTACATATTATATATTATATATTATATATATATATTTAACATTTTATAGTAGTTATATTATTTATATTATGTTTTTGAATATTATTTATATTGTTTTCATGGTATTCATTATTGTATTTTTTATTCATTCTATTCATTATAGATATATTTAACTATATATTCATGATATTCTTTACATTCATTATATTCATTCTATGCACGTATCATTTATATCTTGCTAGACATTTGTTATATATACCCTCTGGTTATTTAACATGGCTATGGAAAATGGCCCATAGAAATAGATGGTTTACCTATTAAAAATGATGATTTTCCATGGCTATGTTAGTCACAACCAGAGGTTAATAGTAATAAATGATGGTGACTTTAATAGTGGTTAGTAGTAATGGTGAATTATTAACCAACATGGTTAGTAATATTAACCAATAGGGATACTATTAACCATATATAAAATGCACACACACAGACACAGTTCCAGTCCAGTCGGCTTCATCGGCAGTCCCCAGAGGTGTGCCACGGGACATGTCGCTGAACGCTGCGCGGCGTCTGCGGGCGGAGCTGGGCAAACTGGCCACCTGAGGCCGAGGCATTTTTTCATGGATTCACCATGGGATGTTTTTTGTTTCTCCCTTTAGTGGGATATAATCTATAAATGAAATGGGATTTAGTGGGATTATATTCTATAATATAGATTTAGTGGGATTTATATAATCTTTAGTGGGATTTAATCATCGAAAATGGATATAATCATCCCATAATCATCAACATATATGCATCAAAGTGGGATATGATGGATTTTTAATGATTAAATCCCCTATAAATGAAACATCATATGGGATTTATTCATGAAAAAATGTAATACATGTGTATATATATATACATGTATGGGATACAATTGACAAAGGGATATATAACATAAGCAACTAATCATCTTAATAGGGTATTGGAATTCGGAGAAAGCCTATTTTCAGAGTGACCCATATTTTGGAGGATCATCATATAGGACACTTAGTGGGACAATACTTGGGATATAGTTAGGATACATGTAATTAGAACACTTAGTGAACTTTTCACTTGACATGTTTGTTTGTCAGAAATAGTTGGGATAAGACGACTGTTTTATTCATAATTTTGATGTGGCGGTTTCTTGAAACAGGCAACCCAAAAAAGTTGGGTTGCTTGTTTCAAGAACCCCCCGGATTCATGTATACAATTGTATACACATGTAAGTAAAGGTAAAATAACACATACATAAATGAATCAATAATCCCCAAATACAGTATAGTGATAGTTTTACTTACTTATTTACTTATTTGCTCTTCACTTTATCTTTGTATATATATATATTTTTCTTTTAGAACCATATTTGCTTTTCAAGTGCGTATGATGTAGTGATCTGACATATGCCTTGCAAGGATTCAACACGAGAAATATGAATTTCATCACGTATATAATCGTATATATACATATATATCACATTTTGTTTTCTTTTTTGTGGGAGAATAAGCACATCAATTCACAAACGGGATGGGGTGGAACTGAAGACTCATCACCTTCCATGGCTGGCAGATTCGGTCGGCAGGTGTTGAGAGGATGAGCCTGGTGCTGCCAGAATTTACCGTCGGAATTTTCCCGCACTTGCGGCTGTTTTCAAGTGGCCACGCCTTGTGGAAACTGTGGAAACTGTTGAAAAACAATTGAAGGCGCAACAGGGTGTTGCTTCCAGGATTCTAAGAACATCATATTGGTGGCATTCGTCAAAACAGATAATCTGGGGTGCTTCCGAGACCTTTCACAGTCTTCCAAAGCCAGCGGCATAGACTCACTGCCTGGACGAAAAGAACCCAATGGAGCATTTTGAGTGGAGATGATGCAAACGACCTCCCCATGATGTCACGAGGTACACGCTAGTTCGCAATAAGGTTTTTCTCGCCATTTCAAGTGGCCTAAAAATTATTTCAGGTTGGTGAATTAGTGTTTTTTTCCTGTTTTTTCTTTTTGTTCTTTTACTTTCTCAATCTTTAGCTATTGAACATTGCCATAGAAATAGTGGATTTACCCATTAAAAATAGTGGATTTTCCATAGAAAAATGTGACAGTTTACCTTTTGTTTATTTGTTGGCCGTCCCAAGCCTTCCCAAATTCAGAACGACTTGGTGAGGTCGGCCAGCGTGCCCGGATATGAGGCTGTCGTGGGACGCGCCTTGGAGGTGAGAGATTTCTATCACATGTGGGCAGTGGTATACCCTCTGGTAATGGCTGACATAGCTATTGAAAATGGCCATTTATAGTGAGTTTTCCCATTAAAAATGGCCATTTTCAATAGTTATGTTATATCACTAGTTTTAATGGGAAAATCCACTATAAATGGCCATTTTCAATAGCTATGTTAAATTACCAGAGGGTATCTGATATATGGAACATCCCCAGTTAGGTAAATGGCCAATGGCTTATGAGTGGGTGAACATGTTATGTTTTTTAAACTTTCAAACTGGGGAAAACAGGTTACTAGCAATTTTGCAGGTCATCTGCCTATGGATCCAGCCGCAGTTTCTTAGGACAGACTGGGGTATGATTAGGCGGTTAAGTACCTTTGGAGGTATTTGGATCCATAGGGATTGGGTATATTAAGTACTATTTTTCATTGGTCAAGAACGGGGATATCTTAAGTAGTACTTGACCAATGACTGGTCAACCGGTGCCCTGAAGCCACCAGTGGGCCACCAATTGCTAAATGTCCAGCCCATAACCCAGGTCAAAGAGCCTACATCTTGTAATCTCAGAATTGAATGCTCTGGGTTTGGTTGAATTCTTCCCTCCAGCTTCAACCAGCTTAACAACAACTTTTTATTGAACCTGTGATCAAATCGTCTAGACTTCTGCAACCATTTGAACCATTTCATGATTTTTGATCCTTTTCAAGTCTATTGAACCACTGTAGATGTTGATTTCTTAGCAATTCTGCTGCTTCTGGGACGCCAGGTGGAAGTCGAGGGCTTCAACGAAGAAGGTCGTGCAGTGAGCTTCGACGCCAAGGGCTGGCAGGTGGGATTCGGCAGGGGACCTTCCATCGAGGGACGGCGATCCCTCTGAGCTATATATGATATGTAACCATCATTAACCATCATTAACCATCATTAACCATCATTAACCATCATTAACCATCATTAACCATCATTAACCATCATTAACCATCATGTAACAATCATGTAACCCTCCATTAACCATCATTAACCATCATGTAACCCTCCATTAACCATCATAAACCATTGTTTGGTTGGTGCTTTCAAACATGAATGGATTATTTTCCATTTCATATATGGGATGTCATCCAGACCCCATTGACGAACTCATATTTTTCAAGATGGTTAATATATACACCAACCAGTATATATATATATACATACACGGATTCATTCATGTTGCTTATGATGTTTTACACATATATATATATATATACACATGCACACATGCGCAACTATATAATATGATATCATATGTTCCAGGGACCGGCAAAAACACAACCTCCACCATCTGCTCAGCGCCTCCAGGCTCGACAACTGCAGCACACCGCGGATATGTTGGAAGGTGTTCTCTACGTGGATCGTCTGGCACCTGGTGCGGGGCGGAGATCCAAAAAAGCTGGGGACTTCAAAATCGAGTTTTTGGAGTCCAAAACTGCCGAATTTGCGGAGAACATCAGAAAAATCACTGGTTTACGGATTTTTCATTTTTGTTCCCACTTGACATGGGGCTACTTTGGGTACATCCGCATTGATAAATGCATGGAACTTGAACTTCTGATTCGTTTGCAATTGTTTGTAACCTTGCATATTACTCAATATGTTTAGTCCATTCTTACCAGCAAGGTATGGAGACCAGGTCCTTCCGAAGAGACACGGTGGAGGCGTGACCACAACGTTGAGGGAACGACGAGATGGAGAATCTTCCCTGGTAAAAAAGGGTACTGCCGTGGAACTAGGTGGAACTCAAGGATTCATCAAAGTGGTTGAGGGGCTCATGACTTGGTGCTGGATGCTTGGATCCCAAAGTTCTTTTTTCGTTTCCGATGTGGTGAATGATTCTGAGTCAGGCTGTATCCCGGGTATCCTCACAATTTTTCAACCAGGTCATGTGAGTCATGTGCAGGTATTGTAACCTACTCACCTAGCTATTGTAATACAAAGCTCAGGAGCTTGCCGCCCAGCGACGCCAGGAAGATCTGCCAGAAGGGGTGCCTTACGGTGTCAAAGCCAAGGTGCAACGGGGCGGGGACTTGGATTGAGCAAACAGACATGGGGATTTAGCCTTTGGTTATTTAACATAGCCATGGTATAGATGGCCCATAGAAATAGATGGTTTACCTATTATAAATGGTGGATCTTTCCATGTCGAACTGTTAGTCATAACCAGATGGTAAATTTTTATAATAGCAAGGGCCATTTTTTGCAACTGGGGATCAGCCATTTTTTGGGTGAGTAGTTTCAAAAAGGGGTTTTTCTTTTTTCTCCAGCAAAATGGGATGGTCCCTGACCATACAGCACCTGAGATTGCAATAACTTGGACAACTTGGACCCCTCAAATCGACCAAAATCGGTGGGTTATTTCAGTCGGGACACCCCGAGTTTTTGACATACCAAGCCAGACTTTGAAGATTGATCATGTCTCACTGCGAAGGACCAGACTGTGGGGGATGAGTTGACTTCCTGTCCAAAATGCTGGTTGGATGAGAGTTAGACTGCTGAGCTGTGTTCGAACCTTTTGATGTTCCAATGGTCAAAGTGGGTCAACACTCGAAACCTTCGGAAGCTATCCACCCTTGAGATGGCAGATGTTTGAAAGTGTTGGTTTGAGGGCACTTTGGACCCACTGATCTTTTTATGGTAAACAAATCATGGGGCTTCCAGTCAAAACGCCTGAAACTTCAAGCAATCCATTTGAAGGTTGCTTGTTTTCCTCTGAGATATCTGAGATCATGACTAATCCGACCGCTGTCGCTCAAAGTCCATTGATGAACCCCGAGTTTCGCCAGTTTCCCCGTGAGGCACGAGCCGCAAGCCATCCACTCAGCTGGGAATCGGAGAAGCCGATGGTTCTATGGTGATGCTAATGACTTGTATTGTAATGTGGTTAAAACAATAGTAAACTACCCATTTAGGAATGGTTTATAACACCTAGTTATGGTGATTTGGGGGATGGGTTACTATAGTATACTATGTGTATCTACTGTACCTGTAATATATTTGTTATCAGTCTTACAATTCTTGTCATTACTATCATTATTTGCCATTACTGTTACTGTCATTATCATGAATATTCTTTAGTATAAGTTATATTACTTAAAATATACTATATAACTATCTATATTGTTGAGATAATTGAAATTATATATATATATATATTACTGTATTGATGTTGTTGATACTCTAGAAATAGTTTCAACAGAATTCTTCAGCCGAGGGTTGAGCCGGATGGCCCAGGCAAGCGCAAGCGTCGCGCCTAGGTCTGGGGATTTTCCCCGAAACGCGGGGAGGAAAAGTCCCCGTTTCTAGGGGGTCTTGGATATCCACTACCCTCTGGTTATGACTAACATAGCCATGGTATAGATGGCCCTAATCGAAATAGATGGTTTACCGTTCTTAAAAATGGTGGATCTTTCCATGGCTATGCTAGTCAGAACCAAATGGTAGTTTTGGAGAACATAGGAAAGTTAATCTGGATGACCATACGCCAAAAAATCCATATGAATCCCAACATGACAATGGCTCACATGATGTGTGTTGATGTGGAGTTACCTCAGAGAATATGACTATCCAATGAAGTAGCGACTTTTGAGAACAGCAGGGCGTGATATGGCATGATATGGCATGATATGGCGTGATATCCAATCACGTTCAAAAAACACCATCTGATTATTTCAAACAAAAAGTAGTAAATTCTTCCAGCGAACATCTAAGACGTTCCCAGCTCTGCCCGCAGGCGTCGTCCCAAACGACCCTGGAGCCCGAAAGAAAGTGCGCCGCAAACGAAAGCAGACGATCCCTAACCCGAGATGTCGTGGAGTATCCCACTTTTGAGCCCCATGTGATTCTAGCAGTGCGAGAGGATTTATGGGTAATCAGACCAACTGATTTGGTAGTTGTTTTGATATTCTATTTTTGGCCATGAAAGGGTATAGGGTGTATATATATATTATTATACTAGCTGCTAGTGAGCTAAACAAACACAATTATACACAGCATCAGTGGACGCCATGATAAATCGGGAGCAAAGAACTTGGGTGGATTCGGGCGTAACACACTGGGTGGATGAGGGGGCCATCTTTCTGAGAAACAAGCCACAGAATTCCCTTCCGATGTACGATGGAACCAAGCTCCGCTGCTATTTGGAACCGGGAACATGGGCACAAATAAAGAGCCAAAGTGTGGTGTTTCCATGATGTATTTCCATGATGTATCATCTGTGATGGAGAGCAGCCAAGTATAACGCATTCCATATGCCAGATATTTTTTGGGTAAATTATTCATATTTATTCTAAAATAACAGGCAAACATCTCAAGAAATGTTCCAAACTGGTTGAGATCCTCATCTCAATCCAAAGGTCAGCCTCTCAGATGTCAAACCTTGTGTGGCCAACACACAAATGGTTTCAAGTCCAAAGAACTTCCCCAACTTTGACGCTGGGCGGCCACATTTTTCCGCCATGGCGGTGGAAAAGGAGGAGATAGAGGTCCAGCCCTGGTGAACCAAACTCCTCTCGCAATAGAAATAGACACGGACATAGGGATTTGATGGGATATACATGGGGATAGAATGGGATATATATAAATATATATATATATATATTACACATATATATATATATAGCCAACTGTCTCCAGTTTGGGTGTATCTACTAAATGGGTTCTATACCTATCCATTTTTGGCCATCAAATAGTAGGGAAAAAATGGGAAAATGATGACTGACTACCCAATGTCAGATTTCTCTACATATGTGACATATGTGATAGGGAACCTCGGAATCAGCTTTCCCGAGCAGTTGCTTGGAGGGGTATCTATCCTGGAAAATCAGGATCCCGATTTACCAACAGTATCACATCATCATTCAAGCTTAATCCTTTGATCAGATTCTACCTCATGTCTAAATACCGCAAAGCAACACTTTCAAGCTCGCACCTCATGTGCTTGGTTTCATGAGCCTAGATAAGTTGCTGGATTCGGTGGCCTCGGGATGGCTATTAAAAAGCTGTCCAACATCCTTGGTGCCTACTGTCAAACATGTTGACTCATACCCATCTGATCACCAGCAAAATCTAGTTCAAACATGTCCACCAACATGACTATGACGGTCATAGGATATCCTCATCTTGACATCATCAGAGATTTAGAAAACACATCAGATCCAGACTTTTCTGCTCGGTGATCAATCGTGGCACTGGAAAAAAAACCCACCAATTTATAGATGATTTTCCAATTACCCTCTGGTAAAACTAACGTAACTACGGAAAATCACCATTTTTAATGGGTAATTCCACTATAAATGGCCATTTTCAATAGCAAACTGTTAGTTTACCAGAGGGTAACAGCTCCATTTCAAGGGAATTTCCCAGCCACGTTTGACCGTTTGACTACCAGAGTGTAACCCATTTAACCACCATCAAGTCCCACAAAAAACAACGATTTCCACGGCCGTTTGCACACGACCCATGCCGCAGTTGCAGCTGGATCTGGAGGATGACGAGGTGCACTCAGAAACACATCATGACCCATGCCCTTAACATCCACAGATTGTGTACAGCAATTTCCTTGAGTTCAAAATTATATACTATGGGGGTACATGGTGCGGGAGTCCCTTTGGCATCACTTTTCAAGCCCCCAGTTTTGGGCCCCCACCGGCCATGTTTTGTCACACTATCTTCCAGTTGTGCAGTTTGAGAAAATTGGCATGGAAGCTGTCCAGACGGCATGGCTTCTGCAGCTAGCACTGCTCACAGCTCGTCGCAGAAAACACAATTTGACTATATATCTCTATATCTATAGCCATGTCGTCTGCCGCCGCTGGTATGGAAAGGGATGCTGCGGAAGGTGCTGCTGTAGCCCATGTGCCCGGGATGGATGACCGTATAGCTGCTTTGAAAGCTGAAAGGCAGGCCTTGAAACGCCAGCTGCAGCAAACCAGTCGAGAAGTCAAGGCCCAGGCTGGTTCAATTTCATCCTTGTGTGCCATGTTTGTGTTGGTGAAGCTGTATTGACATTCCATCGTGCCACTTGCACCTTCATCTTTCCCATCTCAGGTTTTTTTTGGTGAAGCTGCATTGCACCTGCATCGCACCACTTGTACTTTCAATCTTTTTGTTTCAGCTCTGCGCCAGGAGAAAAAACGACGCAGAGTCCTGAAATCGGCGGGCAAACTGAGCACCCAAGACCTCTCGTGGCTCCTGGCCTTCAAAATGACCCGTCAGCAGTAGCAGCTTCTTCAAAACTATATGTCTCACTGAAGCACTTGTGACTGCTGTCTCCCGAGGAGTCAGCAGCAGCTTCCTCAAAAGTATATGTTTCACTGAAGCACTTGAGACTGCTGTCTCTAAAGGAGTCAGACAGGAATGTGGTGAAGTCACACGCGGCAGGTTACCTAACGACTGCTGTCTCCCAAGGCATCAAAAACACGTTTTTGCGTGCTTTGGCACCTGTTTTTGCTGTGGCCCCAAAAAACTACTAAGGATACTTCCAACCATTTTCGCAGACTTTGTATTGGCACGGCAGAGTCACAGCTCATGCACGCATGAAAAACTACTAACCCGTGAAATTGAAATCACAATGGCTTGGACGCAAAACTACTAAGGAATTCTGCCAATTGAAAAGAAATAGAAGAAAGTGTTTCCTTTTTTGTCCATTGAACAATTCCTTAGTAGTTTTGCCACCGAGCCAATACAAAGTTTGAAATTCCCCTTAGTAGTTTTCACACAGAAGCATAGTAGTTTTGCGGCAGAGCCAATATAAAGTTGTGACATCGTGCTTAGTAGTTTCACACCGAAGCATGCTAGTGTTGCAGTGGAGCCAACTGCAAAGATTGACATCGCCATTGATCATTGTTAGTTTTCACACACAAACATCACGCGGTCTTGCAGCTGTGATGTGCCACCTGGAGTGACGGCACATGTGTTTCTTCCTAATTCAAAGGGCCTTTCCGGCCACATGTTGGCCCCCCCCTGCACCCCCCGGAATCAAGGTTGACGAAAATGTCTTGCTGTGAAGACCTGACGCTTTGGAAGTTGGCTGCTGCAGTGATTAACACCAGGAAACAACATTGATCCTGGGGGTGCGGGGGGGGAGCCGCTGCTTTGACCCTATACGTGGGGCCTCGTGCTGTGTGTGCAAAAGGTCTGAATTTGGGGTCGCTAACGGACGCTGTTTTCAGCCCTCTTCATTGAGGGCCCTCCTTGTGACAACACAAACCTGCATGATGTGGAGAGATAACCAGCAGTGTTTTTCCATAACAGTGTCATAACACAAACCCACATGATTGGACGGCTCATCATCATTGTTTGGTCTAGCCTGCTCCTCACAGGTCGCCTCTCCTCGATGTTTTTTCCTGGACGCAGCCATATGAATCAAGTCTTGCCGCGCTGACTGCATGCAACAGCAATATAGTTTTTGTTTTTTGCATGAGCCAGACATGAATTTGTATGCTTTGAAATGCCGAGGCCATGCTTTGGCCGCACTCATTAGGTCATCTTCCTTGCTTCCATTCGAATTCAGCTGTATCAGACAGGATTGGTTTGACATGACACGAATGTTTTCAATGAGTCTGCCGACAGATAGTTTTTCTGCGGTCAGTCATGCAGCGTGGCGTGGCCGAAGGCACATCTGATGCCAGGGTGTCAGACTTGAAGGAAGCCTTGGTGCAGAATGGCAAAGCACTGAAAGCGGCTTATCGGCAGAATGCCAAAAAATGGAAAAGGTTGCACTGTGCCGGCCTTGGAGTGGCAGCCCGCAAAACTGTGGTAGCTGTTTACATGCTGTCGAATTGTAACATGGATCTGACTCTCCGCATGGCTTGTGCTTTGACAACGACGATATCCTATGGCAGCAATGGGTATACCCCACGGCAGCTTTGATCCAAGAGATGTTGCTGACGACGCCGCTGCCAGATTTGACCGCTTTGGATGACACAGCTTCACGCAAAGCGCAAGCCTTCCTGGCCGAAGCAGCCACGGAGCAGTGGGTCTATGACTGCAATACGAATCATGGTCAAGCACCTTCTGCGATGGACACGTTTTTGAAGTGGGAGGAGGCCTTCCATGGCCAGAAGCTGGACATGGGTGTGCCAAACAAACGCATGGTCAATAAGTGGGTGCAGCGCTGGCGGGCTCGGTGGGGCGTCCGCCGGAAGGTGCTGAAGCAAGTTGTTAGCAGAGACCCCGCTGTACTGCGCGACAAGGTGCGGGCCAGTCAACTTACAACATTTTGTCTTCTTTTTTTGGGTTGGGTGGCTCCATTTTT